TTAAAAAGCTCGACATGTGCGAAGTTTTCTGCACACCTGTAAGCCAAACGTCTGTCAATAAATTACTGAATACCTTAGCCGAACTGAATAGTGAAGTATATTCATATCTAGAATTAAGGCCATTGAACTTTAAAAAACGATATTGTCCTATTTAAAGATAGTACTAGTAGCAAGATTTATTGGATCCATGGCATTTCGAGAGAGCTCTTCAGTTGCTGCCTCTCATTGCTTAACTTGAATCACGTAAAAGAAAATACAATTGAATTCATACAGAAAAAATCGATATAAACAATTTTCGTTTGTTAAATTGATCAACTATTCATATGCTATATTAAGTAACAAATTACTTGTTACTTTGACATTATAAGTAGACATGTTTATTCCCTCTATTTTATAGAAATATGCCTACTTACAAATGCTCGTCGGGTGGCCAGCGTGCGCGCTGAGACCTATTGCAACCTCTATGCCCTGGATCGTCTCAGTTTCCAGGAGGTCCTACAGAATTACCCGTTCATGCGGCGGACATTGGAATCAGTTGCAGCTGAACGCCTATATCAACTGGGACGGGATCCGCTCCAGGTTATTCACAGGAAAAACATCAAGGAGGATCTGGAGATCGTGAAGGAAATCGTTAGTTTGGTTAGTCCGTTTAAGCCATCCATCTTGAACAGAGTTTTTTAATCAAGTTTGGCATCCAATCATTCGCTTTTTAACAATTTCCTTAATTCTACCCAGCCCCCATCCCTTGTAGTGCATTTGACTGACTGATATTTTTGAGTGACTCGTCTGCGAGCTGGGGTTAGGACTAATGTTACGGTAGGCGTTAGGTTTACGACTGGATTTGGGGTTAGTGTCAGACCTAGATTCAGGTTTAGTGGCCTGGTTCAGCTTACGGTCAGGCCTGAAGCTGAAATCTGGATTAGTGCGTCTGTTTGGGTTAGGAATGGGATCGGATCTTACAGGTCGATTAAGGATCATCCGAACCTGGAATTGAGCATGGCTGGATAATGACGATTATTTATAGAGAAGTGATCCTTCCAGCCTCTTTATCTTTGCCGTTTTTCTTTCCTGTATTAGTTAGTGGTAAAGGTAATGGTTACTTTGCGACGCAAGCTTGAGCGTAGCCATGGCCCTTAACATGATAACCTGTCTCACTTTTAAAGTAACTCTTATTCTAATCTTATTCCAACTTACGATCCCTGTCATAAATGTGTCCTTGAAATTAACCACGTATCGCTCACCATTCCAATTACAAATTCCAACTGGAGACTGGTAATGATGCTTCGACCGTTTTCTCGCGGGCATATTTTCGAGAGAACTTAATTAATAGATCATTAACGTAAAACGCAATAACAACTTGCCATCGTTCTCTCTACGTTACTGCAGCGATAAAACTTTTATTTTTACATTACTTCTGTCAGATTTTCTGCCTTAATTGATATTGCCAATGGTAACAGGCATAAAGATCGTTGTCGTCGATATAGTGGCGACGACATTTGCTGCAGTGGCACTTCTAAAATGCATACTTTATTGCGTAACCCCTGTTGACAGTTTACTTACTGACGTCCGACGGGTGGTGCACCACTTGGGCTTGGGTATGACTGTCTGATGACGACCAATAAGCTAGAAATGGTCATTCCAGTCTTTCTTGTTTAGGTCGGTAATATTATCTACCATTTTACTTACTATTACGTGGTTCTCCCGCTGTGGCCGATGGACTTCCACCCAAGTATTTATCTCAGCTTGCGGTCTACGCCTATAAACTTTAATTCACACTGAGTTACTCCAAGATAGCGAGTAATTTCTGACGAAACTCCAAAGCTGGTAATATCGTTACTTTTTTATTAGTAGTAGCAGCATGAGTAGTAGCAGTAGCAGATCGATGTGTTCATCGTTCTCACTGTCTAGCTTAATGATTGGGTGTTAATCCTCATCGCCCCTGCAGGCCAGTATTCTAGTTAGGATACTTCCTGCTGACAAGGTCGTATGAGTACATTTTCGGCAGTTTTTATTTCGAGGTCTGTTTGTTTCGCAGGCTATGCCTCGCTAGCGCATGCCCCACAAAATTATACCTAAGGTAAGAAGTGTTAGAGATTATCCGTCAACCCATGTAAACATTGAAGACCATCATTTATAGTAAGTCCTGATAAGTAACGACAGTTAACAACCCGTTTCTGCTACTGTTTTCTGCTGATGCCTCTGACGAAGAATCCGTGACGAATATTGAAACGTCAGGCGAATAAAATTGTTGTCCCAGCCATCGAATCTTCTTCTTCTCAGTTAACAGCCAGTCAACAGACGGTATTAATTGAGGAGAGAATCCACCAGATGACTACAAGGCTAAGACCCAATTATGGTGAAACTCACAGCTTCCAGTGGGACCTCGTAGTTCATATGTTTAAAGCGTTAGCTTTCCTCAAGCCTTCTCCTGCCTATTCCGTTAGAAAAATATCCCTATCGAGGCTGTATTTTTATGAAAATGGAGGTTCCTCCAATGGCCCCGACGTAAAGTGCCAAATGTAATGCCGTTTAATCAACTGCCAAGAAGTATTGGAGCGCTATTTTTTTCATGTTCATGCTGACAAAATAGCATGGGTGCATTATCGGCCGTTTTTCTTTCAGGGTTTATTTACCTTGCACGCTATGCTGCGCAAGCTCATGCCCCAAAGCTTTGGTGGCCTGGGCGGGACTGTGACTTCCCCGTCCCACCCACTTCTTCCATGCCGTTTCAACCAAGGGCGGTGCAACCGTTGAAAGTCTCAGCGGCTAGGCGCCGTCAGCTAAGTGTGTGCGCCTTTCCGCAACCTCGACAAATCTATCGCTCGTAAGGGGCGGAAGGCGAGGGCAGGTTGTTCACTCGCTCTAATGGCCAGAATCGGCAGTGTTGATGGTTGTTTGAGGCGAGCGGCGTTG